AGGCATTTCAACTGGGGTGACAGATGACAAATCACGTCGCGGTTTTGATTTGCCTCTCTCCGATGCTTAGTGGCGTTGAGCAGTTTATCATATACCTGTCGGCATTTGTATGTCTTCTTTTGAGAAGTGCCTGTTCAGATCTTTTGCCCAGTTTTGAATTGGATTGCTCATTTTTGGTGTTTTGTTTGTTGTGTTGTGTTGTGCCATTGGGTTGTTCGAGCTCCTTCTGCATTCTGGTTAACCCCTTGTCAGATGGACAGCTTGCAAATATTTTCTTCCGTTCTGTGGGTCGTCTCTTCACTTTTCTGACTGTTTCCCTTGCTGAGCAGAAGTTTGTTTGTTTGTTTGTTTGTTTGTTTTGTGTTTTTGTAGCTTGATGCGGTCCCGATTGTCTATTTTCGCTCTGGTTGCCTGTGCTTTTGAGGTCTGCCACAAAAACTCTCTGCCCAGACCAATGTCCTGAAGCATTTGTGGAATGTTTCCTTCTAGTAGTTTCAAAGTTTCAGGTCGCAGGTCTAAACCTGTAAGCCCTTTTACTTGATTTCTGCGCACGGTGAGATGTTGGGGTGTAGCCTCATTCTTCTGCACATAGTAATAGATGTCCAGTTTTCCCCCACACCGTTTATTGAGAAGACTGTCCTTTGCCCATTGTATGCTCTTGGCACCGTGGTCGAAGGTGCCTTGGTTGTAAATGCCTGGACTCATCTCTGGGTTCTCCACTCTGTTCCAATTGTCCACGTGTCTGTTTTCATACCAGTCCCACGCTGTCTTGGTTCCTGTAGCTTTGCAGTACAGTTGCCAAGTCGGGTAGTGGGTGCCTCCAGCTGTGTTCTTTGTGCTCAGGATTGCTTCGGCCATTCCGGGTCTTTTTCTTCCTTTTTCTTTTTACCAGTGGTTCCATACAAATTTTAGGCTTCCACCTCCCGCCCCACCCCCCACCCCCGATTTCTGTGGGGATTGACATTCCCACCAACAGTGTGTAGGAGTTCCCTCTTCTCTGGATCCCGGCCAGCATCTGCTACTTTTGGTCTTTTAAGTCTTAACCATGCTAACTGGGTGCAGACGATAGCTCATTGTGGTTTCGCTTGGCATTTCCCTGATGATGAGGGACGTTGAGCATTTTTTCACGTACCAGTTGGCCATTCGTCTGTCTTCTTTTGAGAAGTGTCCAGTCAGGAGCTTTGCCCGCGTTTTAACAGGATTTTTGGCAGTGTTGGCCGTCGAGTTGTCTGGGTTGCTTTGTTCATATCCAAATGAGGCTTGAGAGGTCCGACTCGCCAGACCTACCGGGCAGGGGAGGCGGAAGCGTGGAGATGGAGAAGCCGGTTGGGAACACCGCACAGCCAGAACGACCGGCGCGGGCGTGGGGAGATGCGTGTCCGGATAGACGTCTAGCCGGAATCCGACGGGCATTTCGTTCCTGAGGCTCTCCATCTGGTCTCCCAACGGCAAGGAACATACCGAGAGCGCCCTTACGCCTGGGGCCTAGATTTCGTTTGTGATCGTCTCCCCTTCCCGCCTTACCTGCTGTCTACTAGCCAGCTCTCCACCCGCTGCCCGTCGCCATATCTATCCATCTCCTTCTGCGGCTGCTCCCCAAAGTACGCTGCAGGGCTCAGTCTACTCGATGCCAGAATTTTATCCGCAGGTCCGGCTCACGTCCAACGTACGGCGCTCATCTGCGACGAGACGTCGGCGGGGACCTTGAGGCCTCGGTCTCACGTGGGGAGACGAGCCCCTGTCGGGACAGGGGAGCTTGCCATCGCGGGGGAAGTTCTCTGGCGAGCGTGTTGTGGGTGGGTGTGAGTGCGTGGCAGCGATGGACGTGGGTGTCCCTTCCCGTGGGTGGCATCTCACGCAGCCCAGGGCAAAGGGCATGACAGCAAAAAGGGGAGGGACGCCCGCCCGCAGTGCTGGGAGTAGGGGTGTGTCGGGGGTGTGGGTGGGGTGCAGGGCGTGGGGTGGGAGAAGGAGTCCAGGGCGTGCGGGTGGAGCTCGGCACTCGCTGGAAGGGGCTGGGGGTGCGGCTGGCCAGTCAGGCGGGGCTTCTGCAGACGCCTGGGGCGAGTGGGCCCGCGTGATCTCGGGTGTCGGTGGAGGTGGCGGGTGTCTCCGGAGCCTGTGGGAGCCCGGGAGAAGGGGGACGCGAGTCGTTAGAGCAGGACGTGTGAGACAGGGGAGTGGGAAGGGAAGGTCCCGGGGTGTGTGTGCGTGTGTGTGTGGGGGGGTGTCTGTGTGTGTTAGCGCCCGGGGTGCGGGGGGGAGGGTGGTGATTGGAGAAGGGCGGTGGGTTGGGTTGGGAGGGGGCAGAAGGAGAGGTGGGGGCAGTGTCTGAGGTGGCCGAGGGAGGGCGAGACTGGAGGCTGGCAGGAACAGCAGATTGCCAGCGTGTGTGAGTGGGCTGCGGTGCAGGCAAGATCCGAGACGGAAGCCCGTTCGGTCAGAGAGGACCCCCGTGGGCGAGAGGGGGGTGCTGGGCCGCCATAGGGTCAGACTAACGAGTGAGGCTGGGGGTGAAGGCTGGTGGGGAGCAGGCGAGGGTAAGTAAGGCTGAGAGCGTGAGAGAGCGGGTCTGGGCAAGGTCCGAAAGGGGTAGAGGATCCAACCGGACCCGAGAGCTAAATAACCCCTCATCAGGACAGACATTCACAGTCTCAGGCGTGTGTTCGGGGCTGAGAG